AGGAGGCCGGTAGAGGGAGTCGAGTAGAGAGAGAGGACGACAATTGATGAAAAAGACAAACGTGCGAAAAAAAGTTCTACATTTGTTTTTATAATAATCACAATATTTTTATGTAATCTGTATCGATTNCTTTCATTTAATTTTAACAATCCCATGTATTCGCATAACGCCTGAAATAGGATTTTGATAAATATGCGAGATGATGACGTAGTATCATCTTCGTTCAGTTTAATGTGTGATAAAACCTATTGAATATCAAGAAAAAGAACAGACATAAGAAAGAATTTTTAAAAAATTAAAAAATGGTATAAAAGTAACATAATTATCTTAAATTAACTAAATTATATATTACAAAATAATAATAGAATACCAAAGCTTAATTTTAGAGCGGAAACAAAAAATAGAAGCATACAGATCCCTGGCAAATAGAAAATTTTATGTATTGAATAATTTAGAAAAATTAAATTAAATAATTTACATAACTTGCCAAACAGTATTAAAAACACTGATAACTTAATAGGAAATATTAAAGTACTTAAAATAAATGAAAACCATACATTACTAATCTTAGATATAAAGCAATGGTTCCTAAACTTTAGGAAGCATTCCCCCACCATAGAGGGTCACGTGCAATGGCACCTGCCTTGCATCTGTGCAAATGTTTATCACTCTGTATTCAGTATTTATTTTCTTTTATTACAAATTAAATAATACTGGTAAGGTTTGAGTGTAAATATGAAGAAAAGTACAATTTCACTATTAAAATCTACAGATATACCTATCAAATAAACTTTACACAAATAAAATGGATAATATCTGTACAATCAGGAGTTCATTCCTTCTGAATGAAGTTATAATAAATGTAAATTGAAGAAAATTTTTGCATATTTTGAATTGCACATATGATCCATGTTTGGTCCTAACTTNTTTGAACAAACCAATTTATATAGGTTTTTGCGTATTAGAATTAAGCAAATTGCACATTTACGAAACATTTTATAAAATATTTAAAAACAGGTACGGCGAAAATGTGCATTTATTATATACACTGACACAGATTCTCTTACACTTCAAATTTATACGAATGATATTTATGAAGATTTTAAATCGTTCCCCGATATCTTTGATTTTAGTAATTATCCCAAAACTCACAAATTATATAACGAAGCGAACAAAAATAAATTAGGATATTTTAAAGACGAAACGCTATCTAAACCTATAATTGAATTTTGCTCTTTAAAACCAAAAATGTATTCTTATATTTTTGATAAACAAAATAAAAAAACTGCTAAGGGGGTAAAAAAATCTGTTGTAAAAACATTTAATCACGATAAATATAAAGAAGTTTTATTTAATACAGAACTATTCAGGCAGCAGCNCTACAGATATACCTATCAAATAAACTTTACACAAATAAAATGGATAATATCTGTACAATCAGGAGTTCATTCCTTCTGAATGAAGTTATAATAAATGTAAATTGAAGAAAATTTTTGCATATTTTGAATTGCACATATGATCCATGTTTGGTCCTAACTTTCTCAGTCCCACGCACAGATCATTTCCCACATTAAGCCATGAAACTGTATTATTTGACAGTTGAATAGTTCATAATACCTTCGCAGCTGCCTCTCCATTTATAATGCAACACATTTCTACACTTTTCTGAAGCAAGGAATTCTTGGCAACAGCATGCAATTTCTTACATTTAGCAATTTTCATTGCGATACTACATAAGAAGCTTTAAAAACCAGAACAACAAACACAGAAGTCCAAAACAATGGAATACAAAATACATGTCAAACATTTCCATTAAATAATTATCCTTACAGAGTAATTGAAAAATTGCTAGAAGAGCATTTTTTAAAAAGATAAAACAGAATCTGAAAAAAGATAAAACAAGATCTAACATTTTATAAATTAGAATACACCCCACCATTCTATGAAAAAGCCCAAAAAATATTTAAACTGTTTTAATATATCATTAACTCCAACCTTAAATAATAGTGTATAAGATTATTAATAAGAATAATAATTTTGTTTTCAATAGCAAAGACAATGTTAAATGATAACTTAATATATAAGTTAGAATGTAATTGTATGCCAGTGTTGTTATGTGAGGGAAACAAAATAAATGTAAAAATTAGAATAAATGAACACCTAAGAGCAATAAAATATAAATACAAAAATACAGCTGTAGCAGAAAACTGTTCAAAAACAGGATGCAGAATTGTTGTTAATAGAGTAAACATTTTAAAAACTGAAAAGAACAATTTAAAAAGAAAAATTACATGAACATCTAGAAATTGTAAAATTCCTGCAGGTAACCGAATAAGCTTAAATACAGGTATAAAATTGAACTATATATGGCAACAGATTATATAAAGGTAGCAAATGCTATTGTTTTAATTTATGTCTTTTTCCCTCTTCCTGATTCAATGAAAAGATCCATAAACAATTAAATCATAAATGGATGAAAGAAATAAAACACTATTTTTTAAATGCAATATTTTAAAACTTTATTGTAAGTTGCCTTTTTGTTAATTTTTTAGATAAGGGACTGTCCATAAATTACATCTGCATTTTTCTTGAAATTTTTACTTTCCCCACTGTCCTAGTTTGTTCAAGTTTCTGTTACACCCTCCACTTTTCAAATGTCCAACAAAACTGAAACCCCTTCAAAAACTTTATCACTTTATGAATAATAAAGTGTATAAACTGTATAAAATTCAATGAAATAAAATGGACATCCATTGAAGTTCAACACCCCTTGTCTGACTTGTCAAAACCCCCTCCCTGCCTTCCAGTGGGAATGTCATTTATGGTCAGTCCCTAAATTATAAAATATGTGGGGAGTCTGATATTAAAGGTACAGGCCAAAGTTACACTAACATTTATAAATAAATATTTAATACATTCCACTAAAACTGTATACTTTTGTTTATTTCTCAACATAATCGCTGTAAACTTTGAGACATTTATCCCAGCATGACACTAGTTTGAACATCCCTTCATGGTACTGTTGCTTGTAGTCCAGAACAGTGTCTTGCAATTCCTCCTGATTCACAAAGCATTTCCCTGCCAAAAATTTCTTTAAAGGTCTGAATAAATGAAAATCTGAGGGGGCTAAATCTGGACTATATGCAGGATGTTGTAGGACCTCCCAATTCTGCTGTGCCAACCACAGTTTGGTTTGATTTGACGTATGGAGTATAGTCCAGATTTAGCCTCCTCGGATTTTCATTTATTCGGACCTTTAACCTATCCCACGTTGAAAATTTTCTCCATTGTGTGTGGTTGCAATGTTGAATTTTTTTCTATGTTAAGCCTAAAGTAATTTTTTTTTATTTTTCACAAACAAAATAAATATATTGAAAACTAAAAAAAAAAATTATTTTGAAAGTTCATTTTAATATAAAAATTATGATGCATAGCGACATCTAGTATCAAAAACATACCGATACTGTAATGAGATATATCGGGTTTAACCCTGCGGGTCAAAGGTCATGACTCAGATATATGTCAGGAACAATACAGATTAAAGAAATTTTTGGCGGGGAAACGCTTTGCAGATCAGGAGGAATTGGAAGATACCATTCTGGACTACTTCAAACAACTTGACAAGCAACAGTACCATGAAGGGATGTTCAAATTAGTGTCATGCTGGGATAAATGTTTCAATGTTTATGGCGATTATGTCACAAAATAAACACAAGTATGTAGTTTTTGTGGAATGTATTAAATATTTTCTTTATTTATAAATGTTAGTGTAATTTTGGCCTGTACCTTTTATATTGGACTACCCTCATATAACTTATATATATAGTCTAAATAAGAATTTTTTTTTTGTATGTTTAAGAAAAATCTGATTGAGAAATAGTACAACTAAAAGATATCTTTAAAAATTACAGGTAAATGTTATTTATAATTGTATGATGATAAATTTTAAAAACAATCTATAATATGGTACCTTGTTATATTTACGATATTATGTACTAAAGAGATAAGGACTGATGAGAGGTATGACACCCAAACACATTTTCTTGTAACGAATATCAATAAAGTGTAAATTTGTTCCTGTTGTCTCTAACCTTTGAATTTTGAAACCAAATTTTTATTCACTTAATAAAATTCATTACACTAAAAAATATAATAAGTGAAACTTTTCAACATGTACTGTACAGTACTAATGGAGTGACTTGCTAAATGGAAAAATGTCAAAAATGGCATCAAATGTTATATATTATTTATTCTTATTTTTGCATTTGCTGGTGGCTTGATCACCTAAAGTGAATACATGATTTGCTTTTTCACTTTTTTTAATTATTCCATTTTAAAATAAAAATCTCATAACAGAAAAAAAAAACCACTTATGTAGCAAAAAGATATGTTCGAAACTGTATAAACGTAACAATAATAAAAGTATTGTCCACGAAATTTAAACAGGAAGACATATAAAAAGGGTTCAATTCTATTAAAAAACAAGAGAAAACAAATAAATCCATCTATTATAAATCCATATTCAGTTACTACTTCAGTTAAATTTCCTGTAATATATTTCTTTTTTGTTTCATAAGACCCATGACACAGGTTCATCCACACGTTACTTGAAATTGTTAATACCATTACCACTGTTAATATTACAATAGTACTGGAAGTTTTCCTGTTATCAATTTATCATCCACATAATCAACACTATCTAAAGGACAAACTGACAAATTATTATGAACAGATAACAACACAGAATAAGAGTTTGAGAAAGTATTATAAGCTTAAATATAGTGATAACTTATTTTCTCTTCCATTTCTTAAAAGAACTGTGTGTATGACAATTCCATGATTAACATACAGCATCAATAGAAGTTTCCCATTCACTTAACATTCAGGTAATTTGTATCACAAATATTGTAGTTTTCTTCTTTGAATTTTTCTAGTATTAAACTCTTAATAAAGCAATTTCAGTTGTAATGTTAATTTANAACAAAATAAAAAAACTGCTAAGGGGGTAAAAAAATCTGTTGTAAAAACATTTAATCACGATAAATATAAAGAAGTTTTATTTAATACAGAACTATTAAGGCAGCAGCAATACGGAATTAAAAGTAAAAATCCTGTAGTAACAACATATCTACAAAATAAAATTTCTCTTTCCCCATTTTATGATAAAAAATTCATTTTAGATAATGGAATAGATGTACTATCGTTCAGTCATTACAATTTCTACTTTTAATTCTTACAGATATTCTGATATCATCATCATCATCACAATATGGTTTTTTAATAGTATACAAAAGGAAAACTACTTATGTAATACATAGCATTTGTAGTAGAACTTATTCGTGTTTGAAACAAACGTATAGGGAAGCAGCATTATTAAAATTGCCAAATAATAAACCATATGAATGTAAATTTTTCGTAATAAAAAATAAAATAATAATGCCTATATTTAATAAATATTTTATAAAATGTGATTGTATGAAATGTAATAATAATTAAATATTTTATATTTTCTAGAAATTGTTTATTTTAAAAGATTATCCGATACAGTTATATGTCCAAAAAAGGCTTCTTTGGGTGCAGCCGGATACGATATATTTTGTACTGAGAACTTTCAAATAAACCCCCATGAGCAAAAAGTAATTTTCACCGATATAGCCCTGGAAATCCCAATGAACTGTTATGCTAGAATAGCTCCAAAATCTTCCATTTCGTTAAACAATATCATGATCAATGCAGGAGTTATTGACTTCGACTACCGTGGAAATATTGGAGTTGTTATGTATAATTATGGATCAGAAACTATCATTTTCGAAAAAGGATTGGCCATTGCCCAAATAATTTTCGAACTAATAATGCATCCTAGTTTAATAGAAAAAACTGATTCATTAAACGCCACCGACAGAAACGAAAAAGGATTCAGGGAATATAGCAAAATTGCTTTTAAAGATTTTGAGGATTCTGAAGAAGAAAGTGATATTACTGAAAAAGAAAGCGACATTTCTGAAAAAGAAAATGATGATGATGAAATTACCTTATCTCATGAAAAAGAAGAAGAAGATGATTTTAACTGTGATGAAGATACTCATGAAAAAGATGATGATGATGNCAGAACTATTAAGGCAGCAGCAATACGGAATTAAAAGTAAAAATCATGTAGTAACAACATATCTACAAAATAAAATTTCTCTTTCCCCATTTTAAGATAAAAAAATTCATTTTAGATAATGGAATAGATGTACTATCGTTCAGTCATTACAATTTCTACTTTTAATTCTTACAGCTATTCCGATATCATCATCATCATCACAATATGGTTTTTTAATAGTATACAAAAGGAAAATTACTTATGTAATACATAGCATTTGTAGTAGAACTTATTCGTGTTTGAAACAAACGTATAGGGAAACAGCATTATTAAAGTTGCCAAATAATAAACCATATGAATGTAAATTTTTCGTAATAAAAAATAAAATAATAATGCCTATCTATCTACGTTCTCAGCAATGCTATCTATTTATAATAATAAATCACACACACCTGAATTTTTTGCCGAGTTATTTTTGTTTATTCCAAACGTTTTCGGCCAATTCGTATAGGCCATCTTCAGGTTTTAATAGTTTTCGTTGTAATGGAATCATTCGTTCGAAATTCGTTTGAATTTGAACTTATTACAACTTTTATGTATAATAAATAAATTAAACTAAATATATGATAAAATGTAATCTAAAAATCGCGTTTCAATTTAACAATAAAATAAAAGAAAATTTATAACTTTGAGTTTGAAATACTAAAAACTCCAGAACATGAAAATGTTTATGGATTATTAAAACCCATATTTTTCTCAATTTTATATTTCCAAGCCGTTGGTAATGCTTTTGCATCTTTTGCATTTAGGCATCTGTCCCTCATCTTACTTCTGTAAATCTCTATTTTCTCCATTTCCATTGCGATGGAAGGTGAGTGTCCCGTCCNGGCGTAACTGGCAAGCGCACCGCACGGCAAGCGGAGGTTGCGGGTTCAAGCCCCGCCCCGGGCCAGTTCTTTTATTCCAGAATGTTCTAAATTTATTTATTTATTTAATTATTATTATTTATTTAATTATTAATTTAATTAAGAGATGGCGCCTAAAGCCTACCTCTAATGTCAAATTACTTAGTTCCAATCATTTAAAATAGCCATATTATAGCCCGATAAATTAGGCGATCGTTTGGTGTTGTTATTATTAAAAATTCATGTAATTTATATTTTTCAATAAAAATTATAACTACAGTAATTCAAAATTTAAAAAAGTAAACATTGAACATAAGGTGGAAACTTATAAAATTACAAAGAGTAAAAATTCTCTAAAAAACAAAATAAAGTTACTACTGTATCAAAATTACAGAACTTTCCATTCAGAAATGAAGAAATCTTTTCCTTACACATTACTCAGTGAATTTGTAATTTCACCTCTCTATGTGAATTGAGGTATTGTGTCAATTCACATAAAGATGTGAAATTTCCAATTCACAGAAACTTGTAAATGACAAGACTGTACTTAAAACCAATAAATAAAAAACTTTCAATATCAAAAGGAAACATAAATGATAATTGATCAGTCTACCTTTAATATTTTGTAATTTTATATCTTGACAAATCTGTCTCACTTGCAGTGGTAGTTTCAAAGAACAATTGAAAAAATAAAATACTGTATTTAGTTGCAAACAGAAATTCAATGGCAATTGGTAATTTAAAATTTATTGACTCAAATACTTTTAAAATTTGGGGAAAAAAACAACGCATGATATATCCAAATCGGCAAGATAACGAAGGGCTACTGTATGTTTAAATAAGACACCAAAAACTGCTTTGTCACACCAAAAATTAAGTAAATACTAATTCTCAAGCATTTTCAGTCTTCTCCAGCTCATCTCCCGATGATGGGCTGAAGAAGTCTGATAACAAATTGCACAGAAAAGAAAGCAAAACATCCAATTATAATAATTAAACATTAAAGAATATTTTTCCTTTACTAATGAATTTCTTTAATCTAAAAAATTGATGTTTGTGTCACATCTCTCTGTGACGTTTTCAATGCCTGTTATGTTATGTTCTTCACATTTATTAAACAACCATTTCCATACTATTGAGAGACATTCTGAATCCTCACTGTTAATTATATCATCATACTTTTGCTATCTACTAACAATCTTTCTACATCTTAAATTCTCCCTTTTCCTTATTTCTTCTATAATCATAACTTTATCCCAAACTAATTTTATCTCTTGACTTCAACAATGGCTAGTTTTCCAGTTCTCAAATCCCTCATATGTTTTTTTATTCTAGTTCTAAACATTCTCATCACCACTCAAACTTGAATCTTTCTCTTTTATTTTTCTGTAATTGGAATCACATAAACTAGCTCAATCTGGTTAAATTTCAATTTAATCAAATTTTATGAGCAGTTTCTGATGTCTTATTTGGTGTTTTTGCATAGAAAAATTTGTATGTTTAAGTAATTGTATAAGAACAAAATACATTATATATATATATATTATTTTTAATTGAAAATAAATAGTCAATAATTTGATCAAAACATTCCTAAAATAGAAAGACAACTGCTTAACTAAGAAAAATTTTATTAAGTAATGCATTAATTGGTTCATAAAGATCACTAATAACTAATGATACTTCTTGTATGTGAATGTGAGAAATATGATGAATCAAATGTTACTAAAAATATATAGCATCAACAGAAATTTATCACTAGTGCAAACACATGAAAAGATTTCATTTTGACTAGTAACTTAGTAATGTATTACGATTTCTATCTGAACTTTAGTACTAAATTTTTATAATGCATTAATTACACAAAATGAATTCTACAGAGATAAAAATAATTTCACTGAAATTCATTACTTTTTATGAATTCAAAGTTAATAAATTTTGTTAATACAAGTACATGTTCTTAATTTCATACCTTCATTTTCATCATCACCATCTTCATTCTCTTCATCACTTTCTTCATCCGAATTATCATCTGACAAATCACTGTCGCCACCTAGAATTTCTATATACACACAAATACACAATTACTTAAGAGCTCTTTCTATTACAATGTATTTTAATTATAAAATCTAGTTACCCTTTTTAATTTCTTGATATTTTTCTTCATTAGCTTCATATTCCGGATCAAACTTAAAAACATCTGTAAAATTCATTAAAGTAAGTATTTAGCTATTTTCAGTTCTTTAGTATCTACAATATGAAACAAGTATTTTACCACTTACTTAATATATCTTCTGTATTAACTGCATCTTCCAGAGTAATCAGATGAGTGAACTGTTCGTCTTCAGCAACTATGTCTAATTCTTCAATTATTGCAGGATGATCCTATCATAAAAATAAATATTAATTTTAAAATAAATGTAATTCTGTTGATCACACAACATTGACTTAGTAATAAATTTTATCACATTCAAAAATGGAATGAATACTACAAGAGTATTTTGATTTTTGTGTTAGGAAATTCTGAAAGACTTGTAAAAACTGATTTATATAAATATATTTGATGCGTCAGTTGAAAAACAACCACTGTAAATAATTATTTTATATGGTGAAAAGGGGAAGAGAAAATCAGAAATTGAGTTTAAGAGATATAAATAATAAATGTCACTAAGCTGGCTTAGTGATGTTTATTATTTATATCTCTTATATCTTTCAAACTTATATCTTTTAAACTTATATATAGCTGGATGAGTGCCGTTGTGGAGATGCTCTCAGGCCGTGTGCGTAGGAGTCATCCCAAGCCAATGCAGTGTTTAACCAAGTAAGGTTATATCTAAATTAATATACTTCTGGAAGCAAAGACTTGCTCGGGGTCTGGGTGGCACAACTGGCAAGTGCACCGCATGGCAGAGGTTGCTGTTTCAAGCCCCGCCCTGGGTCAGTTCTTTTATTCCAGAAGGTTCTAAATTATATATTGATTTATTAAAAATTATAATTATTAATTTAGTTAAGAGATGGTGCCTAACGTCTACCTCTAGTAACAAATTACTTTATATTAATCATTTAAGTAGAAGAATTATAGCCTGATATTTCAAGGCAATCGTTGGTGAGTTTAAGAAAAAAGCTCTTTCATAACATGTCACAGGATCACAATGTAACCAATTAAATTGTTAAATGATAATATCTGTATTGTAGTTAAAGTTACTCCTAAGTAAAGCTTACATTAACTTTATTTGAATTTGAACCTACAAGTAACTGTAAATCAATCAGCGAATTTTTCATTTCAATTTATTGCAAAATGGTTTGTAAGACTAGTTGATTTCAAAAACAAAATATTTTTCGTTCTTTCCATCTGCATTAGTAAGAACACCAAATATCTGGCTAAATAAAATACTAAATTTGCTCCTCAGTTTATCCAAAATGGAATAAATAAATCCAATTTTATAGTTTCTTCTTGCTTCATCCATCTGTTCCTGGATAACGTCAGTCTGTGACTTGGATACAGTTTAAAATGAATAGGAATTGTACTTGTTTTAACCAAAACACTTGTTAGAAGTCAGCATTTGCTGGATAATCCTACCTTTGTAAGATCCATATTACAGGTAGGAGAAGCTAAATATAAACCAAATTGAATCAACACAAACTGACAATAACAAAATTAGTTAACATTGTTTGCCATCACAATTTCTCTCAAATATGCTATAAATGAGACAAGAGTAATGAAAGAGGACGATATTAAATTTTCTCATTCCTCCACCTTCTTCTCATGGTAGTCTTACAATTTATTAACAGTCAAAATTTGTCTTTTTTAAAACTAATAACTGAAATGTGTTATGATTGCCAAACTAATTATTCAAAAATAATTAGTTTGGCAATCATAACACATTTTAGTTATTAGTTTTACAAAAGTCAAATTTTGAAAAAGTGACTGTTGATTATTTATTGTATTTACTTTGTTGAGAATAGTAATTGAACATTACACATTGTTAGTTTTGAGAAAACAAAAAAAATCAAGAAGTCTTATAATTTCTTCGCAGACTGTTTACAAAATAGTTCCTAGAATGATTAATTATTATTATATTTAGAAACAGTTACCTTAAACTTGTCTTTTCTTATTGCAAACATTACTTCAATCATATATTGCACTCTCTTATCAACCTTTGCATCGTGCAAAATGCTTCTTAAACGATCAAATATGGCTAATAAAAATAAAACAAATTGAAATTAACAGTTGTTATTAAAGTAATGCATAATTAGACTATTTATCTTCAATCTATATTACTGTAATTGGTATAANTTAAGTATTATTACAATTAAGTTTCAAATACTTACGTTAATCCCCCCAATCCAATTGATGTAAAAAAATTTATGGCAAATCTTGTATTTCGTGACATGTCTCTTGGATATAAGCCAGCAAATGCTTCTTGCATTGTCCTAATTACAAAAAAAAGGCATCTTATTAATAAATGATTTTATAATATGTTAATGTAAATTTTAAAAAATAATTTATCAAAATATTACTCATTTTCATAAGAAATTATTTATGTAACATAAATAATTTCTTATGTTGTGTCGTACATATAAAGTTAAAATTATATTTTCTTAGCAGTGCTCTTTATTTATAAATTTTCCAGATTGCTACTTTCAGAGTCAATGACAAATCATTACTCTAATACATAAAATTATTATTAAATTTCATGTATTTAAAAAAAAAAATTAATTAGCAAATTTTAATTAAACGTTTACAAAATACAAACTTTATAGAAGAAAAATAAGGATATTAATTATTCTTGCACTCAACTAGAATAATAAGTACTTTTATACTGTATATCTATAATATTTATAATTTTTGATCATTATATATACAAAAAAAACTGCAAATTGCATTTAAAAATAAAACAGTTATAAATTTTAAATAATGTTCTTATTATGTTATTTATTCTAGTAACAACAAAAACAGAATTTTAAACTTACGGATCTTTAACTCTTTCGTTTAAGTTTAACAATCCCATGTATTCGCATAACGCCTGAAATAGGATTTTGATAAATATGCGAGATGATGACGTAGTATCATCTTCGTTCAGTTTAATGTGTGATAAAACCTATTGAATATCAAGAAAAAGAACAGACATAAGAAAGAATTTTTAAAAAATTAAAAAATGGTATAAAAGTAACATAATTATCTTAAATTAACTAAATTATATATTACAAAATAATAATAGAATACCAAAGCTTAATTTTAGAGTGGAAACAAAAAATAGAAGCATACAGATCCCTGGCAAATAGAAAATTTTATGTATTGAATAATTTAGAAAAATTAAATTAAATAATTTACATAACTTGCCAAACAGTATTAAAAATACTGATAACTTAATAGGAAATATTAAAGTATTTAAAATAGATGAAAACCATAGATTACTAATCTTAGATATAAAGCAGTGGTTCCCAAACTTTAGGAAGCTTTTGGGAGTATTCCTCCCCCATAGGGAATCACATGCAATGGCACCTGCCCTGCATCTGCACAAGTGTTTATTGCTCTGTATTCAGTATTTATTTTATTTTATCACAAATTAAATAATACTGGTAAGGTTTGGGTGTAAATATGAAGAAAAGTACAATTTCACTATTAAAACCTACAGATATACCTATCAAATAAACTTTACACACTTTGCACAAATAAAATGGATAATATCTGTACAATCAGGAGTTCATTCCTTCTGAATGAAGTCATAATAAATGTAAATTAAAGAAAATTTTTACATATTTTGAATTGCACATATAATCCATGTTTGGTCCTAACTCTCTCAGTCCCACGCACAGATCATTTCCCACATTAACCCATGAAACTGTATTATTTGACAGTTGAATAGTTCATAATGCCTTTGCAGCTTCCTCTCCATTTATAATGCAATACATTTCTACAGTTTTCTGAAGCAAGAAATTCTTGGCAACAGCGTGCAATTTCTTACATTTAGCAATTTTCATTGCAATACTACATAAGAAGCTTTAAAAACCAGAACAACAAACACAGAAGACCAAAACAATAGAATACAAAATACATGTCAAACATTTCCATTAAATAATTATCCTTACAGAGTAATTGAAAAATTGCTAGAAGAGCATAAACTGAAAAAAGATAAAACAAAATCTAACATTTTATAAATTAGAATACACCCCACCATTCTATGAAAAAGCCCAAATTCTATACACCCCACCATTCTATTAAAAAACAAGAAAAGAGAACAAACAGAATCTATTATAAATCCATATTCAGTTAATATAAATCCATAAATCCATATCCACTACTTCAGTTAAATTTCCTGTAATATATTTCTTTTTTGTTTCATAAGACCCATGATACAGGTTCATTCACACATTACTTGAAATTGTTAATACCATTACCACTGTTAATATTACAATAGTACTGGAAGTTTTCCAGTTATCGATTTATCATCCACATAATCAACACTATGTAAAGGACAAACTGACAAATTATTATGAACAGATAACAGCACAGAATAAAACTTTGAGAAAGTATTATAAGCTTAAATATAGTGATAACTTAGTGTTTTGCAATCTTTTCTCTTCCATTTCTTAAAAGAACTGTGTGTATGACAATTCCATGATTAATGTACAGTACAGCATCTTATCAATAGAAGTTTCCCATTCACTTAACATTCAGGTAATTTGTATCACAAATATTGTAGTTTTTTTCTTTGAATTTTTCTAGTATTAAACTCTTAATAAAGCAATTTCAGTTGTAATGTTAATTTTTTATGTTTGCATTTATAAGTTATAAGGCAACATCCACAGAACTAAATACATTCTTTATTGGCGATGTTTTCCACTTCAAGTGAATAGAATATGATTTGAATGTGCAACATGGNTTACAATTATTTGAAGCTATTTCTTTCTTGAATGAGTGAATTCACAAATACAATTAAGTAATAATGCAGTCAAAGCTCACAGTCTTCAATGAAAGGTTCCTCAAAACTTACTCATAAATTGCCCATAATTTAACTTTACTTTTATTAAAATTTTATCGTAATTTTAATCAACTTTTAATGACACGCGATTAACAGTTAATTAATTATTTTTTATGGCTTTTTAATATCAAATTACATTCATTGTTCTAAAGTTCTAGCGCATGGATTTTACTTTGGTAAAGTTATTTAAAGCTATTTTCTGATGTCAAAAATGACATCCAATAGTTTTTTTAATTTTTTTAATTAATAGATTTTATTATATTGGGTTGATGCAAAAGTTTGTCTCATTTTTAGTACCAGATGGCTTTGCATCGAAACACTGGTGTTATTTCCTTCACATGTGTAAAATTTTGATGTTTGACAAAAGGGATCTCAGCTAGTATTTGAGAATAAAGTTGTGTTACTTAGTTGTGTTTTTTATATTTTATTATGAATTAAAAATGACAGAAAATCAGGGGTATTTTTGACATATTATGATTACACTTTTTTATTTCTGAAAAGGCAAGAATGCTTCACAGACAGAAAAGAAGATATGTTCTGTATATGGTGAGGGAACCATTGATGATTCTACGTGCCATAAGTGATTCAGAAAGTTTTGTGAAAACAATTTTAATCTTAGCGACGCACTACATTCTGGACGACCAACTGAGGCTGATGACAATGAAATATTGGCACTAATTGAAAGTGATCAACATAAAACAACTCGAGAGATTGGATAAATTCTTGGAATCAATCAGTCAACAGTGTCAAAGGCAATTACATCAACTTGGAATGGTTAGCAAGGCCAATGTATGGGTGCCACATGAGTTAACAGAAAAAATTTGATGGTGTATAATAAGGTAAAGCATAAAAGATCATGGTGTAAGCATGGAGATGCCCCTTCAACCAGCACAAAAGCCAGTTTACATCCAAAGAAGATTATGCTATGCATTTAGTGGGACTGGAAGTGAATCATTTATTATCAGCTGTTACCTGAAAACCAAACCATTAATTCAGAGAAATACTGTTCACAACTAAGTGAATTAAAGTGAGCAATTGACCAGAAGCAACCTGAATTAGCCAACAGAAAGGGCATTGTGCTCCATAAAGACAATGCTAGACCACACGTGTCTTTGGCCACCTGACAAAATCTTTTACAACTTGATTGGGATGTTTTGGTCCATCCACCATATTCTCCTGACCTTGCATCCTCTGGCTACCATTTATTTAGATCACTTGAAAATGGCTTAAATGGTAAAAACTTTACTTCCTTGGAAGACTTGAAAAATCACCTGGATCAGTTTTTTAACCAGAAATCTCAGAACTTCTATGAGCATGGGCTTATGAAGCTACCAGAGAGATAGAGAAAGGTCATCGAACAGAATGGCACATACTATATTGATTGAATGTAATTTTTAGTAAATAAAATTTTTCTTCAATTCTTTCCAAAAAAACGGGACAAACTTTTGGAACAACACAATGCATACATTTAATTAAGTCAGGGGGGACAGAAACTGCAATAAAAAATGTAATTTTTGCAAAAGATTTAGAAATATACAGCCAGCTAGTATTCACCATACTTTAGACCATTCATCCCCTCAGACGTCTATGTAAATATCCCGGGTAAGACGACACCAGTTGTTCTCAAGGTCATCCATTTGTAAACAAACTGACTCATTGGTGTCAGATTTTGTGGAAAGGTGAGACAAACGACAATAAACTTGGAAGCTTTCTCTTCAAAATTAACACATTTCTTTCTTTTTTTCAGTTTTAAGTATTTTTTACATTTAATTAAATTAATATTAAATTGAAGCAAACATAAAAAGGGGTTAAGCAGTACAGACAGACAGCAATAGNGACAGCCTTCTGCATTTAATTTCCATATTCTTGCAATTTCTTCCATACTAAACTCTCTTCCATGTGGCATTTTGGAAACATTTAATTCAATATTCAAAAAGATTTAGAAATATACAGCCAGCTAGTATTCACCATACTTTAGACCGTTCATCCCCTCAGACGTCTATGTATATGTCCCGGGTAAGACGACACCAGCTGTTCTCAAGGTCATCCAGTTGTAAACAAACTGACTCATCGGTGTCAGATTTTGTACAAAGCCGAGACAAACGACAATAAACTTGGAAGCTTTCTCTTCAAAATTAACACATTTCTTTCTTTTTTTTCAGTTTTAACTATTTTTTGTTTAATTAAATTAATATTAAAATGAAGTGAACTTAAAGAGGTTAAGCAGTAGACAGACAAACAGCAATAGCGGAAATTTATATGTCTACAATTTTTTTCAAATTGCAGCCCAATGAACTATTCAATAGTTTTGCTCATTTTAAAAACTTCCATCTTTGGTTAAAATTTGACATGCAAATTATCTTCAATTTTAGAAGAATTTAAATTCAAAACAGAGAAATCAAATTTATCACAATCTTCTAACAACTGCTATTTAAAATTTTATATATATAAAATTTACTACAAATTTAAGTTTTAATGTAACGTATGCTTTACCATTAACTGCATCTTTTGATGCTTCAGTTAATCTTTGTCCACACTCTTTTAAGAAGCCAACAAACATTTCTAAAGAGTCTTCAGTAGGATTTTCCAAAAGTAATGTTAATATTTCTAGTGCCAATACTTCATGAACCTAAAAGAATACAAAAAGACCAACTAAAACATCATATTTTGACATAACTAAAATTTACTACAAATTTAACTTTTAATGTAACAAGTATGCTTTACCATTAACTGCAGCTTTTGATACTTCAGTTAATCTTTGTCCACATTCTTTTAAGAAGCCAACACACATTTCTAATGAGTCTTCAGTAGGATTTTCCAAAAGTAATGTTAATATTTCTAGTGCCAATACTTCATGAGCCTAAAAGAATACATAAAGACCAATTAAAACATCATATTTTGGCATAACATAATTTAATTTTTAAACTTAATTATAATTTAGAAGTTTTAAATTTTACACAAATCTAGATATTAGCTTAATGCATAACTAAACAAACAGGAGTAAAAATTAATCAATCAATTTTATTTTTTTGGCCAGTTCCAAATTTTAGATTTTCATGCATATGAAGACCAGAACACTCATCCTAACTTCCTCTAACAATAACATTTTAAAACCATTCCTTTTATTCAATTTGTTAACCTTCAGAATTTGGAGTAACTTTCAAATAATTATTGTAAAAGAGACAAATTGTTGTGAATCAGACAATATAAGATTCACAACTGTCTCCAATTGAGATCAAATTTGGCATTGTATTCTTTTCTCAATATCAAATCTTTCTTGTGATTGAGACTGTCTCTAATTACATTTCAAAACAAGTGAAAGACCAATTGAATTGCAAGGAAGATCAATCAAGACAAATCAGAATATTTGATCAGGAAACTAAATCTATAAAATCCAGTACCCCAAGGACAAGGGACACTTCCTTCTCAGTTGACTGAATCTGGTAGGTATTCTTATAATTGCCTTATATCTCCTGATTAATGCAATTTCATGCTGTATACATGATAGCAGCCACCTTCTTTAAACAGATTCTACTTTTGTTTATGCACATTCATTTGGACTTGATAATTCACACACCACACCACAGGTTCCAGAATTCCCCTTCCGTGCTTGAACTTTCTAAAGAAAACCACTGAACAAACTAGAGTAACAAATGTAACTTGATGGATTTTATAAAGTTTTCTGCAAAACTAGAACTACTGTAAAGGAAATTCCTCTCAAATAAATGGTAGTATATAACACTTTCTTCACTCAAGACATATGTCTACATATGTGATCCTTTCCAACTTACACCATTTAGGTATAGCACAGGCATGGCCAACATATGGCCCGCAGGCCAGACCCGGCCTGTCTAATGAATTTATGTGGCCCACAATCAATCTTTCAATATTAGCTACTCAAGTCCGAATAGCTCAATGAAAAATTCTGATGACTAAAAGAAAAAAAGGGGCAACAACTCACTGTGCATTTAGAGTTAACCCTCCATTACAAATCTCTTAAGTACATCGTAGAGAGTGTTGATAAAGTGAAAAATGTATCTGCAATGTCTATCTACAGTTCAGTCTCTATAGAGTGACACCACAATGAGATCTCGCACCACCTCAAAATCTTCCTAGGGCAGCCTCTGGTTAGGCCCGTGGAAAAAGTTTTCTTTCCAATCCGGCCTGAAGGCAAAAACTGTTGGCCACCCCTGGTATAGCATCTTTGGTCAAATCTTCATATCAGACTGTGACCAGAAGTCACATGATCTCATATATATATATATGATTCCATGATATACTATTATTTATTTGAGAGGAACTGCCTTTACAATAGTCCTAGTTTTGCAGAAAAGTTTACAAAAGCCATCAAGTTACATTTGTTACCCTAGTTCGTCCAGCAGATGGTTTTCCTTAGAAAGTTCAAGTACAGAAGGAAAAGTTTTTATATATGTATCTACTAAAAAATTAAATATTTCAATTACATTTGTTATTCAACAAGCTGACATTCAATACTATTTAAACTGGCTGTTCATTCCATTGCACAATGCTACATACATTGAAACAAAAGTACCTCAGTCTGCTTGTAATTTACTGAACAAAAAAAATTTCATTAAAAATAGAAAAACTGAACTTTGCATTTGCAGACAAAGATTTTCTAGGAGGTTAAAAATCCTAGCATCATGCAAACATGAACTATATTAATTCTCCAAATTCAGAAAAGTTTATTTAATTATTAATAACTTTAAAATATTAAAACACAAAATAAATGTTACTTACCACTTGTTGGTTAACTAAATGAGCAATGAAACGGGTAGATGAAACACAAGCTAACTTATCATTTCTTCGATAACCTTTTCTAAATTGAATTATTAATCTTCTCAATAATAGTTCACATATTTGAGGAAACTATAAAGAGATAAATTTGTACATTTGATATACAGACTAATTTTAATAGACATAGCAATAAAAACACACCTTTGTATTTATAACAGCAGCCACAGCTGCATAAACGTGAGTAAATGTTGGTGATACAGCTTGGGCTTGCATCAGTGAACGAACTAAGACACCTCTAAAATTAAAATCAAATACTGCATAAAATACCATAATGAAGTAAATTTACACAAATAAAATAAAAAAGGAACAAATAATACAAAAAAAAAAGGAAATAATAATACTACTAAGAAGAAAGTATATAAGAAGTTTTGTAGTTAGAAACAATTATTTTTGTTTTCAACATTTTACATTAATACAGTAAATTTCATTACAGAACTTTTTATTGAAAACACATAGTTTTTCAAATGTTATTGATTACTACCTGGAAGCATAACAAACATTTAACAATTATATTTTATTGCTGGTTTACTTTCTCAGCACTTATTTTATTATACTGGTTTGTCATCATTTTGTCCTGTAGTAAGTGCCAGTAACTCAATTTTGGATCATCATTTGTAATTCTATAAAAATTGTTAGAAAAAAATGCAAAAAAAAAATCTTTTTATTCTTAATTTGTGTGTAACAGTGACTTTAAAAAAAATTAATGGACATATTCATTGCAACTATTTTCAATAATTAAGCAAAACACCATTAAATTATAAATTCAAGTTTAACAATATTAATTATCACAAAAATATGTAAAATTCAAATCATTATATACAATCTAAAATTCTTTTAATCTTGATCAAATAACAAATTGTACTATAATACAAATTATTAACTTATGAAATCTGTTTTAATTTTCATGGAAAACTTGTCACCATATACAGGGTTCCTACTCAAATTTTTGTTTTAAATTCCATGATTTTCCCTGACCAACTTTGTAGAAATTCCCCAATCCTCACATCCCTTACAATATAGCACATTGATGAAATAAAATAGCATATGATTAACTATGCAAATATGCTATTACTTCTTTGACTTTTGTAATTAGTTATTTTTTCTAATTAACAGTTACATAATTTTTATAATTGCCGAATAATTAAAATTAAAATGTTTTATTAAATTGAAATAGTTCATCCTGTTATTAATCCACAACCATAAATCTATGTTGCTTTAAAAAAATAAAAAGCCATTATTTATTATTCATTAACAAATCCTGTATAATCCATGTACAAAAGTATACATTAATTAAATGTGCCTCTTAATAAATTTCTTGAACTTTATAAAATATTAATAAACTGGGAAAAAAAATCAAAAATTATTTATCACTTTTTGTACTTTATCATCACTTTTTTTAAAATCAGTTCATTAACATCTGCTCTCAAAGAGAGTGTAAATGATAATTGTGAGAGATTTGTAGAATTAAAATATTCAAAAAAATTTTAACCAATGTTAAATTATTAAGAGTATTACAGACTTTTCTCTAAAATTCATAATACAGTGGGTGATCAGTTAACGAACAAATTGGATAACAAACACTCTCGCAAAAGATTTTTATGTTCGGACAATGAACACCTCACAAAACAACCACAAGAAGTAGTGATGTAAAATAATGAATACCAATTGGTCTTCTTTTGTCTTCAGGCAACAATTCGAAACTGTTCAGAGCATGGAAGATGTTGACATCGACGTTCAACCCGGTATATACTAATCAGATAGTATTCCTCTGAACTTTGAAACTCTCCCTTGTAATTCCAGTTTTTTTATTTTTCTGACAGAAACAATTCTTTTATAGTATTTGTGAGACTGTCAGACGAGCAATCATTAAGTTTTGCGTCAGTTTTTATTTTTGAAAGATGAGTGTATAATAGCAAAGGTAGAGTGTGGACAGAAGATATCTGACGTTGCTGGGCAGTATGGCTTGAACAGGTCTACAGCAGACCACAGTTCAATCTTATCTAAGAAAGGTACTGTATAATCAAGAAGACTCAAGCAGCTAAAGAAGTAACAAAAATCACATCTGAGAAATAAAGAACACTGAAGAGTTCATAATGGAACCTGAAACAGATCTGACGACAGAAAAATGCCAAGAACTCTTGAATGAAGAACACCAAGAAACTCGGCGACATATGTTTTCTTCTGAAAAAGAGGATTAATGCTGATATCTGTTATTAAAGATCTTTTGAAGAAGTGGGAGGATGTCAGAACAATGGTCTTAGAATGGCATCCAAACTAGGTTGAGGCTTGGGGATTTCTACAATTGCAATGCTATTAATTACTTCTGAAAAATCCTGAAGTAGAGAGAAAAGCAATCGACATTGGACAGATTCTTTAACCCTTTCAAACGGAAAAAACATGACTAATAAAATTGCAAGACTGTGTATGTATGTATTTTTATTATTGCATATAAATAAACATAGTAAGGAATTATATATTTTTTATATTTGAGGGTCTTCAGAACGAATTAATTAAATTCCCATAAAAACCTATGGTAAATAGATAATCAGTTAACGAACAATTCAGATAGAGAACAAAGTCTTGAAAGGGATTATGTTTGTTAACCGATCACCCACTATACTGCATAATTAATACAGCTGTGTGAAAATTTACAAATGACAATTGATATTGCAATATATTATATTTGGAACTTAGTTTGATTCCCTGGCATTTTACAATGCACTCTACCCGAAATTACCTCAACCATTTGCACATGAAAATTTCTACTATTTAGCACTACACATTGTTCAAAAATTTTAAGTGATTTTGAATGATGCTTTCAAAGATGTCAAATAAAGAAATCAGTTAAGTATCTCAGAATGGATAGATTTATGGAAGAAGGCAATGCAACACCTGGAAATCTTGCAAGGAGGAATGCCTCCAGAAAGGCTTTCTACAGGAAACTAACTCTTTAGGTCTTAGATTTGTGAAGAAAACTTGAAAAACTTCATGTGGCCAGCCCATTGGTGAGATGCAAACCAGCAACCAACTACCAGTGTTTTATCCACTAAGACATTGATGGGGCTAAGCACATAAGGAAACCAGTATTAAATACCATGGCACAGATCCAACTTCTGTTATTTCAAAATTTTAAATAATTTCAAAAAAATTATAATGTTTTAATGAAATTATTTAAATTGTAAATGTATGTAGTTTTTCTTATTAACTTTAGTTAAAATNTTGCACATGAAAATTTCTACTATTCAGCACTACACACTGTTCAAAAATTTTAAGTGATTTTGAATGATGCTTTCAAAGATGTCAAATAAAGAAATCAATTAAGTATCTCAGAATGGATAGCTTTCTGGAAGAAGGCAATGCAACACCTGGAAATCTTGCAAGGAGGAATGCCTCCAGAAAGGCTTTCTACAGGAAACTAACTCTTTAGGTGTTAGATTTGTGAAGAAAACCTGAAAAACTTTATCCACTAAGACAGGCATGGCCAACATATGGCCCGTGGGCCAGATGTGGCCTGTGTAATGGATTTATGTGGCCTGCAATTAATCTTTCAATATTAGCTACTTAAGTCAGAATAGATTGGTGAAAATTCTAACGCCTAAAAAAAAAAAAAAAGGCCAACAACTCGCTGTCCAGTTAGAGTTAACCCTCCATTACAAATCTCTTAAGTACAGCATAGAACGTTGATAAAGCATGATAATGTGAAAAATGTATCTGTAATCTCTATATACAATTTAGTCTCTACAGGGTGACACCACAATGAGATCTCGCACCACCTCAAAATCTTCCTAGGGCAGCCTCTGGTTCGGCCCGTGAAGAAAATTCTCTTTCCAATTCAGCCCGGGGGCAAAAACTGTTGGCCACCACTGCACTAAGACATTGATGAGACTAAGCACATAAGGAAACCAGTAATAACAACCATGTCTCAGATCCAACTTGTGTTATTTCAAAATTTTAAGTAATTTCAAAAAATTATAATGTTTTAATGAAATTATTTAAATTGTAAACGTATGTAATTTTTCTTATTACCTTCAGTTAAAATAATTTAACTTAAATAATGTAAAGAAGTGTTCTAGAAGTTAGAGAAAACGGTTATGGTGGGAAAAGACTAATTCCAATAATATGAAAATTTTCTTTTACAATATTTTTTAATGTTTATCACTTGGAGTTCATACTTAACTGAAATTTTTGAGCCTTGACATAAAAATTCATTTTGAGATCATCATTATAAAGAAATTTTGTATTTTTGGATGTCAAAAAGTCTATTTATTACTGTCTGTACTAAGAATAAAAACAATAATTTATGTACTAAGAATAAAAACAATAATATGGTACTGAATTCAATTTTATTCCTATTAATCAACATATTGCATCAAGTTTATAATTGTATATGCTATCCTAGGATGATGAAAACATGTGCTTAAATTAAAGCATTCTTCTAATCTAAAATATTTATGTTAACTTATCAGCTTAGTATTGCTTATATGTATGATTTAATTTTAATTTTCCAAACTATGTAATAATAATTATTAATTGGTTCATAAATTATGATTTAAGTTTGTGTGCAATAATTTTTGGGGAAATTTTGGGTCCTGAAAATATTCTGCATGCCTTTCCATAAGTTGCATTGTACCTACCACATTACTTCTCGCTGCCTGCAGATGGTCTGCCTTATTGTGAGCAAAAAATATCAACAAGGCAGCCAAAGAGGCAAATTCCCCAACTTTTCCAGGTTTTTAACAATTTTTGTCAAATTCCCTGACTTTCCACGAAATTTTCTGAATACTAATGAAAATTTCTGACTTTCCAGGTGTGTAGGAACCCTGTATATAGTTCATTACAGATCTGAAATAACATATTAAAAATTTTAAAATAATCCTCTCTATAATAAAATAAGTTTACTTTCTTTAAATATCACTGTATGAAATTTTAAGCAGCTTAATGTTAATTACAAATAAATTATTGAATATTCTTATAGAATATATTTAAATGTCTATAAATCAAACTTTTATGAAATTTACAACTTCCATCTGATTTTATATAGAACACTTTTTCCACATACTATTATAAATGCATCTTAAATTAATAATATTTTTAAATTATGCAAAATCCTTAATGAAGATTGATTCAGTGTATAATTTTGATTATTGTTTTATAACTAACAGTATAAATTAAAACAAATTTAAAAACTGGCAAAATCTTGTAAGCTGTTAATTTTTTATTTTATTAACAAACATATATTTAGGTTATTATTTTTAATTTGTTTATAATCACATCCTGTGAATCAGTATCAAAATGCATATCCTAAATCTAAGATTATAGCTACTAATGATAATTAGATATTACAAAAATAATTATCATACCTTCCTCTAACCAGATTTTCTTTGAATAATTCAGTTATAATAACTTTCAAATTTGAAACATTTACTTTGTTGATGAAACCATTTATACTTTTCTTCAAAGCTTCCCAGGCTATCTTCTGATAACTCTCACTAAAGAAAAAAAAAATAACAACTTGTATTAATACATATTTTTCTGTAATTATTTACTTATATATTTCACATATGATAGTCATACAATATACTTGTGAGCACTATGTTGGCCTCTACATTTGTAGAATTATTACACAGTACATTAGATGGTATAATAAGTCTAGGAATAAAAAGGCCAACATAGTGCTCACAAGCTAGATAAGAAGCATATTATAATATAATAGTCATACAAAATAAAATTATAGTTAAAATGTTCTATATGAAAATTATAATCTAAACTGGTAAGTATACAAATTATTAACAAATACTAAAATAAAAATATTTTTTCTTTTCAATGTGCTAAAGTTTATGGGCACAGTTTGTAATTAGTAAAAATGTATTATCTGTAATTATAAAGTAGTAGTTTTAAACTTATAATAATTTTGCAATTTAGTTTAAAACTTCCTATCTTGAAACTGGCCTTTTAAAAATGGAGGTAACGACTTGTTGAAAATCACATTTGATTTAAAAAACTTCTGTCTAGTTAGCTGACAAGTTACAATAAGCCACTCAATAATCCAGAAAACATTTTGTTTGCCTACAGTTTTTCTTTTGCTGCAATATTTTATGTAGTCTTTGTAATCATATAAGAGAAATGTAAAATTTTAACAAATAGTGCAAGAGTTCTAGTAATTTAATGATGACAACTGTTCACCAGTTAATTAAGTATAAGCTACTGTACCTACTTGTTCAATAAAAGATTATTATTAATAAATATTAAACAGTGAAAAATTTACAATAAACTGCCAATTCTTAAAAATGAAATCTGCTGCATTTCATAAAATAAATATGAACAGAATTGACTGATGTACTGTACAATAATGTGAGAATGATCTTGAGAATGACTGATCGATCCAATGAATTTAAAGTATAAGGAATGTTTCTCAGAATGTTGGAAATACTAAAAAGTCAATTGATATATCAATCTTTCTATTCAATCCAAACTGTTAATGATACATCATACATATTTTATAGAAGAAATAAATATTTTCAATTATTAAAATCTATTTTTATTTAACAATATAATGAAGTTTTTAAAAAATTATTATTTAAAATAAACCTGAATTTTAAGATATACCTGCTTTAATTTATTATACATTATTAAAAACAATGGTAAATTTAAATATAATGGTAAATATGAGCTTTATTCCTAGCAAAATATTTAAATAAAACACGTTTTCAGTTCATGGCAATCTTTACTCAAAGCAATCAATCAGAATATATTCAGTTTGAACAAAATTTTATGATGTTAAAAATATTGATATATTCTAACTAATCATATTTAACATGTATCCATTGTATTTGAAACAGAAAATTTTATAACATTGTCTAATGTTTTTAGACTGTGGCAATACAAGTTATAAGTTATTACAGAAAATTAAATTTTTCAGTTGTTAAAAATTAGTACCTAGATTTATCACAAATTTGTCCCTGCATCATCCTCAATTTTGCAGGAGGGATATATGCTCCCCCAGCTTTAGTAAAAATATCTTCTATGGTCTTGGGCTTTTTATCTTTCTGGTTATCATCATCATCCTTAGTGTTTGTGGGACTGCGAGCACGTTTCCTATCCATTGTTCTCTGAAAAAATTTTAATATTTAATTATATTAATATTAAGCATTTTAATGAATGCAATTTAATAGAAATAGTTTAAAATTTATAACAACAGTGAAAAATATTGACCTGTCTAGAAAAATTTTAGAAAATCTGATTTAATTAAATACATTTTTTTGAATAATGCAAATTATTCAGAACATGACATCTAAAACCCAGTGCCGGCCCGAGGCAAGTTTTAGGATGGAGCGAGATCCCATTATGGCGCCCCCTTGGTTGCCCCTAATAATAAACCCTTTAATTTTCTATACCACTGAGGCACCTCCTAGGACTTAGTGCCTGGAGCGACTGCTCCGTTCGCCCTATAGTAGGGCCGGCTCTGCTAAAACCACACTTTAAATGTGACAAATGTTTCACAACAACAAAAATTCACTCTCTTATAATCACCAAAATCAGAGCTTCTATTCTCTGTTGAGAGTAGAAAGGTAGTTGATGACAAAGAATCTGTTACCTCTGTACATATTCTAATTTACATATTTCAAAAAATATGTAATATAAATTAATGGATATATTTTTATCGTATTTACAGATGATTAGTGCAAGTCCCTAATGCTCGTGCATAAACTATTTTAAAATAATAGAGAAGGGATGACTAGAGAAAGAAATGTGCATACACAAAGTTTTCTAAAAGGTGAGAAAATATACAAGCGCTTAGAGCCCGAGATACTGTTGTGCTCCTATTGGTCGCATTCATTATGCAGACGGTACATGCATTTTTTTTTGTCTTGGCGGGAAAGTGAAAGAATAAAGGAAATGTCATTGAAAGTGAAATGTCGCCTGTGAAGTGAAATGTAAATAGCAGCTTTTTACACCAAATTATTATAACTGTATATTTTTATAGATTTATGACAATCCGGTATTTGGATAATTTCTTTAGATATATAAATAATTCCTTATTCTAATTTCCTATTATAAATTTCTATATGCTATTTCTATTACAGGAAGTTAAATTAAAATTGAAATCATCTACGATACGACTATTTAATCTCTGTGGACAAACTAATAGAAAGAATATTCTTAACACATATACACCCAATTAATTAATTTTTTTGATAGTCAGTATCAAATATTAATAGGAAATAGATTTTAAACTTTATAATTGTAAATGTCTGCAGTTTCAACTGTAATAGAAATCAGCAACTTCTTAATCATTTGAGATTATACCATAATGTAACCATTGACATAATAGAGCTAAATTTTGGTTCTTTTCAAGACTTTGCTGATTTGAAAATGGAAATGGATTCAAATTCACATTTCATTTTAATATGTGGTTCAAAAACCATAAGAAATATAAAGCATCATTACTACATATGCAGCCATACAGCAACAATAAGCCAAAAGTTGAAAACATTGACAGAAAAAGAATATTGAAATTACAAGGCACAACCAAGTTGAATATGAAATGTACTGCTTATATTGCAGTGGATGAGGATATTCAGACAGGCCAGGTGGCAGCGAAATTTTGCAGAAAACATTATTCACACAAGAAAACTATTGCACATATTCCAATAAATGAAACCACAAAGATTAGTATTGCAGCAAAATTAAGAACTGGGATTACATCACATCGAATTACAGAACGTTTAACACAATTTTCATTTCCAGCAGAGTATTCCCTCACATCAAAATCAGCTATTGTTTCAAAAAAAAGATATCAACATCATTAAGAAACAATCAATGAAAACCACTAGAAAACACTTCTTTATATTGTTGAATACCAGAACATTGTGGTTGAAGCAAAAAGCTCAACTTTGGTTTTTGTTAAAGTGTTATTATTAGAACACTTACGTGCAGTGGCGTTACAGGAGTAAAGTTTGATTCAAGAAAAGATTTTACCATTTTTGGAGTTTTCATATTTGCCCTTATGGTTTTAGGTGAATGCATCGGTGCTATAGCAGACAACATAGAAAGGTCTAATTTAGGTTGCAAGTCTAGACTTTTTGTGCTCTTTATGGCCGCGATAATAGGAGGTATCAGTTGTGATTAATTTTGGTTAGGAGTAGGTATAAACTTTGGCCCCTTTATTAGAATTTGGTGGATATTTTCCGGTACCTTAATATCAGTAAGATTGTGTTAAGGAACTTCCGTAGTTTGTTGTTGTCTTCTGTGAGTAGTTGAGCGTAACCATTGGAACTTTTTGTTGAGGTTCTTCCTAATTTGGCAAGCTTTTTTGTTGGCTATATTCCTAATTTTATCTAATTGTTGGTATAAAATGTTTGCATCACACAGTTTTCCAAAACATATATGGGCCAGGTACAATTGCTTTTCTTTATCTACTGTTGCTTTACGTTTGCTTTTTATTAATCTTGCTAGAAGTTTACGTTCAATTTGAGGCAATTTGGTGTGTACTTCTTTCGGGAAAGAATTATATTTGAGCGCTATGCATTTTGGAATAAGGTTGATTTTCCGACATTTTAATAAAAACCATAATTGTGCTTGAGGCTTTAACCATGCGATTCTAGTTTTTAGCAAAGAAAAGAAGTGCTTTCTATTATTTTCCATGATATAATAAGTTTGCACTTCACGCCGACGTATACTATTATTAGAACACTTACATGCAGTGGTGTTACAGGAGTACTCCTGTAACACCACTGCACGTAAGTGTTCTAATAATAGTATACGTCGGCATGAAGTGCAAACTTATTATATCATGTTAAAGTGTTGTAAAAACGGACTCATCCCCAAGTGCATCGCTTTTAAATACGAGTCGTTTCCAATAGACGTTCAAACCCTATTGCCTCGAATGGAACGAAGTCTCCTAGCAAAACTAATTAAAAGTAAATGCAAAACAACATCAGAAAAAGACAAAATGTATGTAGCCCACCAATTCTTCGCTAAGCAGTGAAATCCAGAAACTCTATACCAACAACTGGATAAGATAAGAATTATAGCTAACAAAAAAGCATATGAAATCAGGAGAAACTTGAACAACAAGTTTTCTTGGTTACAAAAAACATCCTGCCATAAACAAAGCAGAACTACAGAGATTCCATACAACTTCGCAAATGCAAAGGTACCAGAAACTGTTCATCAAATACGAGGCATATCCGGAAAGTAAGTACCGTTTTGGAAAAACTCACATAAAAAATCTTTTTTCAAAACAAAATTTATTTTTACATGAAAGGGCATGTCGGAAACTATTTTTCTACATAGTTACCACCATTGTTCAGACATTTGTCATATCAAGAAACCAACTTGTCTATATCCTCTTCAAAGAAAGATGCCACCAGTGAAGACAGCCACTGCTGAACATTGGTTGTTGCGTGTTCATCGCTGACAAAGCACCTCCCTCCAAAATCACGCTTCAAGTTCAAGAATAAATGGTAGTCTGCAGGTGCGAGGTCGGGGCTGTACAGCAGGTAATCGAACTGCTCCCAACTGAATTGTTGAATAAGGTTTTGAGTGACACTAGCAGTATGAGGACGTGCATTGTCGTGAAGCAACACAATGCCTTTACTGAGATTTCCATGTCTTTTGTTTTGAATTGCACGGCAAAGTTTTCGCAATGTTTCACAGTATCATTCCGCATTGATGGTTTCACCCCTGGGAAGGAACTCAACAAGCAGAATGCCCTGTCTGTCCCAGAACACAGTGCACATGATTTTTCATGCTGACAACATTGTTTTGAATTTGTGTCTTGTGGGGGACCATGAGTGCCTCCACTCCATTGACTGTTGTTTTGATTCTGGAGTGACATGACAAACCCAAGTTTCATCACCAGTAACAATTTTGTTTAGGAAATCTTTACCCTCTTCACTGTATCGAGTAAGAAATGTCAAAACACTTCCAAGTCGCTTCGTTTTGTGGACATCCGTAAGCATTTTGGGAACCCAACGGGAACACAATTTGTGATAATTTAAGCGATTTGTGACAATCTCATGCAAAACAGTTTTTGAAATTTGTGGAAACTCATCACAAAGCAATCTTATTGTGAACAACCCGTTTTCAAGAATTTTCTCATTCACTTTTGCAACCAAACCATCATTGACAACAGAAGGCCGGCCACTCTGTGCTTCGTCGTGAACATTGGTGCGTCCAGCATTGAATTGTCGAACCCACTTTCTCACCATTCCATCACTCATTACATTTTCACCATAAATCTCTACAAGTTGACGATAAATTTTAACTGGCTTAACATTCTTTGCGTTCAAAAATCGTATTACAGAATGCACTTCACAGTCGGCGGGATCAGCGATTGTCTAAAACATTTTGAACGCTCATTAACATGTGGAAAAACAACACAATCTGGCTCTAATGGCGTCACTTGACTGGCAATCAACAGAGACACGTGCACAAGCATTGAACTGCGATACTATCGCTGCGGTGGCAATAGAATGAAATGGTACTTACTTTCCGAACACACCTCGTATTATCACGTGGGCTGAAACATATACCCATTCCAAGGTTGGATTATTCACAACTAATTCCTCCCACCATGGCAGCTATAAAGAACATCGGCTGTCCAGGATTGCAAAATAAATTGAAACTTTGTGCAATATCCAGCAGAGCATCACAACAACATTCAAAACCCAACAAGTCGAACATACAAACTGCTCAGACGGTGAAACTATTTCTTGGAAGCAATCATCTAAATCTGTTAGTTGTTGATAAAGATAAAAGATTTGTGCTATGTAAAAACCAGGATTTCTTGTCAAGAGCCAATGAATTTCTTGAACAATCCAAGTCGATTATACTAAAAGAGGACCCGATACCAACAATACTAAGGAAGACACAAAAGGTTATAGCACTCCCAGGGGTAACATCTTCTTTAGTAGGACCTATCAATCCACCAACGAATGTTGCTTGCCAAAGATTATTCTTTGAAGCGAAAACACAAAAACCTACATGGCCTCTAAGACTCCTAGTTAACAAACGCTTCCACCCAACATACTTCCTAGAGACAGCAAAACACGTTACATCTTTAGTTCCACTCTCAGATTTGGTAACTACAGCCGCTTTGGATGC